AAAAAAAAAATTTGTAATTAATATAAAAAAAAAGTAGGGTGATTGAGGATGGGCACCAACACGCCCGCCTCAAAAAACGGATTGTCCCTTAGTTATTAGGAATAAATAGATAGATACGTAAATAGATAGATAATCAGAGGTGTAACTTTTGCAAGAAAATAGAAAGTGCTTAAATTCCTTTAAAAATAAAAAAAAAGGTTTTCAAAGGGTGAAAGGAAGGTTTTTTGGGTTAAATTCTCAACACGTATTCATGCTTAATTCAATAATTTTGAAAAACCTTTAAAGTGAGTTTCAAATTGGATTAAATTATGGATGAATGGGCATACTTGATCACTCATGGACCACCAAACCACAACCTACGGGAGTTCCTTGAGCATGACTTGGGTCTATGAAATGAGCCGAATTTCGTGTTGTGACAAAATTATTGGGCTTGGACCCTTAAATGGGTCTAGTGCAAATTCATATATCAACAAATTTTAAACCCGTCGCAAGTCGCGGGGCGGGGATGGGTTTAGAGATCCCTGACATTATTCACCATTTACCTGCCCCGTTTAGTTATATCATATTTTTTAATTAGATATATTATGTACAATATGCTATAATCTATAATTTTAAGTATAATTTATTACCTAACTAGTTGCACTCCACATGCAATGCACGTGGGGAGTAATCATGTGTTAAGTTTTAATTACCATAGTATTATTTAAAGCATATAATATCTTAATATAAAATGACAAAGAGGAACTAAAATGAAAAATAAATAATAAAATTTTAGGGTAAGAAGCCTAAAAAAGTCAAAAAAGGACTAAAATGAAGAAATAAATAAGTTTTATGGTAAAAGTAATCAAAATAAAAATATAAAGTTTCAGGATAAAAATAAAAATGGATCAAAAAGGACCAAAATGAAGATATAAATAAGTTTCACGATGATTAGTTAAAAAAAAAGGATAAAAGGAACGAAGAAGAAAAAAATAAAATTTGGGGATAAAATTAAAAAAAAAGATAAAAAGGACTAAAATAAAGAAATCAAAAAATTTAAGGTAAAATAAAAAAGAACACACTAACCAAAACGACATAATTTTGGTTGAAAAAGCATTGTATATGTACAATGCATTTTCAACCAAAATGACGTAGTTTTGGTTGAAAATGCATATATGTACGATGCATTTTCAACCAAAACTAGGCCATTTTGGTTGAAAATACTATAGCAAGTACACATTAATATTTCTTATATATAATAGATATATGTGAAAATCTAAAACTACTTTTTTTTTATTTTTAACTTAATATTTTGTATGATTATATTGTTTAATTATTTTTTATTTATTTTATAATCAAAATAATTAATCTGGGCATCGCAAATATCCCAAATCTTGACAGAAAAATCCACCTATAACCGGCCAACTTATGTAGGATTAATGAGGTGGGTATGGTAATTAGGCGGGTTAATGAGAAAACCACCCCACTCGAAATCCGCTCTGTTGCCATTCCCTTCACATCTAAAGAGAAGACAAAAGATTTTGGTGATGGAATAAAATATGAGTTTAGGGACAATTTTTTTTTTTTTTTTTTTTTTTTTTTTTTTTTTAAAGAGGTTGGAAAAAGTAGGAATGGAAATCATATTATTATATATTACTAAAGGAGGATTTATTTTCACTATTCACTAAGGCACAGATCACTGTTCTTTGTATAGTAAGTTTTTTGTTCATTTTTTGCCCATGGGCTTTCGCCTTTCGTTTGGTTTCTGTGCGTGACTTTTTGGTCTTTTCGGTTGCCTATTATGTGCATTTGCCTCTTTTTCCCTTTGTTGATTATTCTTATGGTTTTTTTTTTATTTTATTTTTATTTTTTTTATCGTGGATTTCTTCGTCGTGGGATACGGCCCTAGAGCTTATTTCCTCTTTGGATTGCTTTGGGTCCGCCACTTATCTCATTTTTCTTTTTCTTAACAGTTTTTTCTCCATTTTTCTTTCTTATGTTGTCGCTTCTCTCATTCTTCCTTTTCGTACCAGTTTTTTCTCCATTTTTGCTTTCTCTGTTGCGTTGATTTTTCTCGTTTTGGGATGGTGATTTTCTTGGTGGGTTCGATGCAAGCTTCTGTCGTTCGCCTTCTTTCTTCCTTTGCTATCTTCGATTTACTATTTTTGATTTGGGCTTTTATTCATGTTCATTTTTTTTCTCTTGAGTGTTGTGGATTTTTTCCTCTATTCTTCGATGTTGCTTTTGCATTACTTTGATTTGGGATTTTCAGTGTTTCTTTTCCTATTGTGTTCTTTGCAGGGTTGATGTTTTGGATTCGTTACATTTTGTTTCCCTTTTTTTTTTTTTTTTTAGGGTTTCAGAAAAGAATAATTTTCGCTCTATTAATTAATCTGCTGAGTTTTTTTTTCTTCAATAAAAGTAATTGTTGATAAATGCTAAATTTTCTATGAGGCCTTAATTTCTTTCATGTATTATTTCTTTTTGTACGGATGAATCTATATGTATATATTTACATCTTTTTGGTTGATGATTTCTATAGGTTAATGCCAGATTTTGCATGTGTCTCACGTCTGGATTGCGGAGGTAACGTTTGGATCTTTTCCCTCGATTATCTGAGTTTTGTTTAGATAAGTTTCTTTTACATTTAGACTCAGTTCATTTTACCGATTTAAATTTAAAATTTGAGTTTTATTACAATAAAAAATTTTAAAAAATAATCACATTTATTTTTTTTACTATAATAAAAAATTCTCACATAATATCACATTTTAATTTAAATTTAAAATTTAAAATAAGAAACAGGCCTTATTTGGTTATATGTAATAGTGATCTGTAATCATCACCTGCTCTGTTCGTACTGTTCTTTTAAGGGCCTGTATCAATACAATATAAAAATCCTCTCCGAGCAACCCACGGGTACAAAATTAGTAAAAAGCTAATTAGTGGAGAAAAAAATTAAGAAGATGTTTGGTTCATAAATTAGAATCATAATATTAGAATTATTTTTAATTTATGTTTATTTTTTATGAAAGAAAATACTGAAGTGAATCATAAACTATGATTCGAATTGAGGTACGAATCCCCTAACTAAACAACCCGTTATAAAATTTTTTTTAAAAATGTATTTTTCTCTATAGGAAAAAATATATTTATAAAAATCAATTTTGATTAAATAATATTTTAGACGATGTCAAAGGAAAAAAATTGTGGGAAAAATATTACTATAATGGAGATAAATTAAAATAAAAAATTATTTTATGAGATTTTAGAGAAAATAATTACATAAGTAAAAAAGTAAAAAAACAAAAACAAAAACAAAAACAAAAGAAAAGAAAAGAGTAAGGCTTCGTTTATTTCACCGATTCGAGTTTTCAATTTTAAGTTTTTATAGCAAAAAATTTTCAGAAAATATCACATCTAATTTTTTTTACTACAATAAAAAGCTCTCAAAAAATATCACATTTCAACTCAAATTAAAAACTCGAATCCGTAAATTGAACAAGCCTGAGTAAAAATTGACGTCAAAGTAAGAAAAGTGAATGGCAGACTTGTAATAAACTTACAAAGGAATGGCTCTTCTATGCATTTTCAGAAAACTTTTTCTAAGAAAAAAAATGTAAGACGCGTGACTTAAAAGGGAGAGTGTTCAAGAGAGTGCATAAGCAATTGGAGCTAGACTACTAATACAAAACGCACGCTCTGCGCATGTAACTAATTTAAAACAACAGTCTTTAAGAAAAAAAGAAAAAGAAAAAAAAAATGAAATAAATGAAAAGTGGGAAAAAAAGATTTGAAACAAAAAACAAAGAAAAAGAGAAAAAAAAACTTAAGAAAAGAATTTGTACAAAATGCTTCACAATTAAAACGGAAATTTATAAGGATAAGAGACAAAAATATTTAAGTAGGAATACATTTGAAAATAAATTAATTTAATAAAGTAATTAGGAAAAATAATATTTTAAATAATTGCAAAAAAGGTATTTAAATGAGATATTCAAAAATATGTAAAAATCAAATGTTAAAAGATGCAATAAATAGAGATAAGGAAGGAAAAATAAAATGTAAAAAAATAAAAATTTTAAAAAATAAAAAAGGAAAAATCTAAAAAGTAAAAAAAAAGGCTAATTACAAAAATCTCCCCTAAACTATATCATTTGTAACACCTTACTTCATAATCTTTAAAACATAACATCTGTTCTCCTTAAACAATGAAATGATAACAAAATGCCCCATATGTTAGTTTTTTTAAGGGAAATTGACATGTAATTTATTATTTTCAAGATATTTTGGTGGTTCTATGATTTAAAATTTAATTTGAATTTAAAATAAATTTAAACTTAAACTTTTAATTGTGATACATCAATTATTGAGTGAATATAAGTTAAAACTTTTATGAACTTTTTAGTAAAATAAAAATATTTATGATTTTTTTTGAATTTTTAAATTAGTTTAAATTTAAATTAAATTTTAAACTATAAAATTATCAAAATACCTTTAAAGTAGTAAATTAAATGCTAATTTTAGTTAAAAATCTAATTAAGGGAGATTTTTTGTTAATATTTTATTATTTAAAGAGAACAAATGTTATTTAAGGAGAATAAATATTATGTTTTAAAGATTAAAAAATAAAGTATTGCAAGGTATAATTGAAATGAAATTTTTGTAATTAATCTAAAAAATAAGGTGATTAAGTATGGGCACCAACACGCCCGCCTGGAAAAACGAATTCTCCCTTATTTATTAGGAATAATTGACAGATAATCCAGGCGTAACTTTTTATTTCTTCTTTTTCAGTTTTCTTTTGTGCCATTTATGTATGATTTGCGAGTTATTCTTCTTTTCCACTTTTCTGATTATCCATCCGTTTCTCTGAAATTTGGCGAACTCCGAACAACGGCAAAAGAAAAATGGGGAGTTTGAGAAAAGCCTTATTTACCGTTGATCGGCTCCTAAAATCAACGTCTCTCATTCAAACAGAGGCCTCGATCAGGTGTGTTTTTTTCGTTGTTTCTGGCCTTTGATTTTCCTTGAATTCGTTCTTTTGTTGGTAACTTTGAAATTTGAGGGAAAAAAGGTTGAAAACGTTGCCTTTGATATAACTTTTTCATTTACGCATTTCGTCAAACACTTGGCATGCCTGTTTCGAATTGTGGGATTTACCGCTTTTATTCGGAAAATATAGATATCTCCAATGAAGAGAGCAAGAGGCGGCTTTGTAACAGGTAAAGCAAAGAGAAAATTAGACAAATATCCCTTAGAGTTTTTGAGTTTTACAGCTCCTTTTAATTCACAGCGAGTGATTTTGATTCTAAATTTAAATTTATGACAGAATGAGAGCTTTTTTATTCAAATTTTTTTATGGGAGAATAAAATAAGAATCATGAGTTTAGGTCATTGAATCAAATAGACCCTTAGATTTTTATCCCTTAGCCAAAGGATTATATTAGTCAAAATAATATAAGTGGTAAAAATTTATACTCATACACTCTTAAATGTAAGTTTCATAATTTTTTCTATAGAAAAAAAAACAAATGTGATTAATTACTTCCTTGTTTCTTGATTTCGGAGATGATTTTTAGCTTTTTCGGTTGTATTTTTGAGTTATGGTAACTTGAGTGTAGATCTTGAGTTGAATTTAAGTTATAATTTAAGTTAAAGTTGTAATTTGAGTTTGTGTTTGGATGTACACATTTGAATTATGATTTGAATTAAAAATCTATTTGAGCTTGTATTTGAGTGAGTAAAAATTTGAATTTGTATTTAGATAATATTTTAATAAAAACTCAATGGTGATGAAAAATTTTAATTGGGTATATGGGTGAAGTTTTATTCGTCTCTTCGTTGTGAACGCATAGAAAAAAATCATCTCAATCGGAATTAAAACGTTTTTAAGAATATAAAAAATATTGTTTATTAATTTGAGTTTGAGTTTAAGAACTTAAGTCGAAAGGGAAACTTGAACTCAGATTTTAGCCTCAAACTCAAGTTAAAATTAGAGTTAAAATTTAAGTTCAAACTCAAATTTTACAAACGAATATAACCTTAAAAAAAATTGTAACTTAAATTCAATTTTTTTTTTGAGTTTTACTCCAAAAGAAGAAAGCCTTTGATGTTTGATTAGGGCTTTTGGGAATAGACTGATATACGGGAGCAAAGAAAGAGGATTTCTGGAATTTGATTTGGTTTTGGGAAAATGGGTGGAGGAGAACATTCATTCTATGGATGAGAATGGAATCAAAGCTCTCTCCTATGTCCTCGACCTGATAAACTTTCTTTTGTTCTGTACGATTTTGTCAAGCGTTATTGCCTTTTCTCAGAATCAGAACTCTATTTCTATAAAGTTAATCATTGGTTTTAGATGGGAATATCTCATAATCTGTTTATAGATGTGCAATTTTTTCTTGTATTCAAATATTTGTCTAGCCCAATTTGCCTACGATCGTAATAGTATATTTCTTGTTATTGGAAATTCGCTAGTTCCGAGCTTAATTTTATTTTTTCACCTTTTTATTAAAAAAAAAGTTTAATCTTTTTCTGATTAGATCACTTTGGCTGTTTAGACTACCACATGGTATAAGCTTATAAGCCATACATATAGGTCTCTTTTTGGTAGTGCTCAATTTTTCAGTCTCCTACAAAGTTTGTCAATTCCTACAGTTTTCCAACATCAAAAAGAAAAACAGTTAAATCTTTCATCGTAATATTTTTGTGTTTGGCGCTTGAATTGCAGAACAACATTTTAATGGGGAAGTAATGCAAGATGCCTTGGTTACATTCCAGTATTGAGAGAACTCGAGCTTCTTGTGTTGACTTTCAATGAAATCATGCGATTGGCTGATGTTTTCTGTTGCTTGAGAGAAATATAATAGGCTGATAGCTATCTCTTAACTTTCTAGATTCTTGTTATTGCCACATATATGTTCAGTTAGAACTATGATGAGAGAGCCGAGATTTAAGGTGTTTGATGTTTTTGAGCCATTTTCTCCTAGTTGAGAGAGTTAGAACTATGATGAGAGAGCCGAGATTTAAGGTGTTTGATGTTTTTGAGCCCTGTAGAGAGAGAGAGAGAGAGAGAGTGAGTGAGTGAGAGTGAGAGAGAGAGAGAGAGAGAGAGAGTGAGTGAGAGTGAGAGAGTGAGAGTGAGTGCCACATATATGTTCAGATAGAACTATGATGAGAGAGCCGAGATTTAAGAGAGAGAGATTGCCACATATATGTTCAGATAGAACTATGATGAGAGAGAGAGAGAACATATATGTGCAGATAGAACTATGATGAGAGAGCCGAGATTTAAGAGAGAGAGAGAGAGAGAGAGATTGCCACGTATATGTTCAGATAGAACTATGATGAGAGAGAGAGAACATATATGTTCAGATAGAACTATGATGTGAGAGCCGAGATTTAAGAGAGAGAGAGAGAGATTGCCACGTATATGTTCAGATAGAACTATGATGAGAGAGCCGAGATTTAAGGTGTTTGATGTTTTTGAGCTCGTTTCTCCTGGTTGGGAGAGAGAGATGATAGGACCGAGATACGAATCACTTATTGACTCGTGTTTTTGTCGTGTAGTAAAACCCAGATCTCTGGAAGTGGCTAGCTAATTGGTCAAGAGCAACCTCCTGAGGCAGTCAAAACGAATCCTGTGAGATTCGATATAAAAAATAAACTCTCAATTTGGTTCTTCCTTTTTCTTGTATTTGGTGGTTTTCAATCCTCATCCAAAACCCTTTTGTTGTAATAGGTTTTTACGGCAGTGTGCGGCAAAGTTATGAACAACCTTAATGCCCATGCTTCTCCTGAAACACGCGCAAAACCTGGACAGCCATGGGTGAGAGGGGTGGGACAACATTAAGAGAGGTCGGGACAACCCTATAACTGGAAACCAGTAATGCTATCATCATCCCTCTTGCCTGGATTTATTACTAGTGTGCTTGTAAAAATGAGCCAGAGATGATTGTTATAGGTAATTTTTCTTACTTGCCTCTATACAAATAAGTGGTGGCCATTGAAACTGTCTCCATGCCCATATTTCTCTTTCCAAACTGTCTTATATTGTTGCCCAAATTCTTCATTCGAAAACTGCATCCTTTCTTCGGGGTGAATAAGATTCAAAGTACAATACTCGTTAATATGACACCGAAAAGTAAAATAAAGACATGCATATGTTTATATTTGTTAGCAATAATATGGACAATACGAAGAAGAACAATATATATGTTAAAAAAAAAGACTTAATTAGCCATTTCAAAGGCTCATATTAGAATGAGACCCAATTGGTTTTTGGATGGGTCTTGATGGATTTGCGTTCTCCATCACGAGAAGATCGAAATCGATTATTCAAACACTCAAAATGGATATTAGGTGAATGAGAAATTGATGTTCTATATATATCACTTAGAATGGTTAAAATAGTAGAAAATTGTAAAAATCTCACATTGGCTAAGAAAGAAGTCTTAGTGGTGTTTATAAGTGATTACAATTTGTAGCCTCGGTAAACATTGCAGGTGGTGCAAATCACGGACCGGCGGATTAGGGGCCCAATGTGTGTGCTCACGACCTGCGGAGACGAATGTCAGACCAGAAAGCCCACTCTGTGCGGGACTTATTTTGCAATATTCTTTTTACTTTTTCTAACTTAAAATTTGGAACGGCTACATTAGGCTGCATTAGTGCATGATTAACGCTGCATTAGTGCAGGGTGCAAAAACTGCAGCATTAACCAGCATTATTACTTGGTTTAATCTTGAGTTTATGAACATTTAACCTTTGAATCTGGACATACTTTGGAGTAGGTGCATCTGGAATTTTCAGATGTTGTAACCTCTGAATTGAATCACCATTAAGCCGTGCATAAATTGGCTTTATTCACCATTATTCCAGCTTTGTAATATCCCCAGTAGCAGTCTATATAAGGGGTATCTCCAGCCATTTGAAAACACCAACACATAACGGACGTCTAATGTAATCTCAAGCACTCGCCGGAGGGGACGAATCTATTTTAAAGAAAGCGTAATTCACATGTCTCGACATGCTTACCAATTCGGTTTATTAAGTTTGGTAGAAAGGTTGAATTTGTATTGTAACAATTTTAATATATTGTTCTTGCAACAAGGTTATTCATATTGTTCTTCTTTGTATTATCTATATTATTACTAACAGTCTTAAAACAGATTCGATACAAATGATGACTTTGCAAGAAGGAAACAAAAACGTTTTTTTTTTTTTTTGTTGGAAATTTTTGTCAATTTTCTTACTAACTTGGAAATTTTATTTTTGAAGAAATAACTGATAACACGAACGTGGTTGTTCCTGCTGGAAGCAACACTATGACGCCGGAGCATTCGCATGTGGGACAAAGGTCTGTCTTGGTCTTGACCCCTGCTTTGACCTCGATGCGGTCTTCGCCGGTCTTGGTTCTTGTGAACCACAATGAGAAATCTGATAAATTCAGTGGGTTGAATTTTAAGACTTGGCGACAAAAAATGTTGTTTTATCTGACAACATTGAATCTTGTGAGATTTTTAAAAGAGGATCCTTCTACTGTTAGAGAGGATGAAGTTGATGCTCAAGCATTCCACGCGGTTGATGCATGAAACCATTCTGACTTTCTGTGTCGGAACTATGTGCTGAACGGCTTGGCTGATGGGCTTTGCAATGTGAATAGCTCAAAGAAAATAGCTAAGGAATTATGGGAATCTTTGGACAAAAAATACAAGTTTGAGGACGCGGGTGCTAAAAAGTTCTTAATGGGCCAATTCTTGAATTACAAGATGGTGGACTCAAAGACTGTTATTAGTCAAGTTGAAAAGCTCCAATTGATAATTCACGAGATACATGCTGAGAAAATGACTATAAGTAAATCCTTTTAGGTAGCTTCGCTGGTTAAGTGCAACAAGGTTGACCACAAGTCGGCGGACTACAGGCTGCCGAAGCGAAATAAGGATAATGAGGCTAATGCTGTGGACACTATTTCTAAAGAGGTGTCCGACATCAGTTTGTCTATTGCGGTCTCTGAAGTGAACTTGGTCGACTCTAATCCAAAGAAGTGGTAGCTAGATACTTAGGCTACAAGACACATTTGCTGTGACTGGGCTGAGTTTGCTGATCAAATTATGTTAGAAACTGGAGAGAAGCTTTTCATGGGCAACTCCGCAACTTCTGTGATCAAAGGCCAATGAACAGTGTTCTTGAAGATGACCTTGGGCAAGGAAGTAAAGCTCCACAACGTGCTATATGTGCTTGACATATGGAAGAATCTCATATCCAGGACGATGCTTAGCATGCACGGCTTTAAGATGGTGTTTGAAATTGATAAAATAGTTTCGTCTAAGATGAGAATGTATATGAGAGGTTATGTAAAGAATGAGGGGTTATGTAAAGAATGACATGTGAAAAATGAATGTCATAGCTGTAAAACCCAAGAAAGTGAATAAAAAGAAAGAGTCTTCTGTTTATATGTTTGAGTCTTTTAATTTATTGTATGGTAGACTAGAAAATGTTAATTATGATACATTGCGTAGGTTAATTAACTTGGATCACATATCTGCATTTCATATTGATTCAAAACGTAAATGTGAAACTTGTGTAGAGACAAACTCACACAGACATCTTCCTGACACAGTTCAATTCTCATGGTTATATTCGTTTTGGCCATGAACATCTACCTGGTTCTGCAAGAGTTTTTAAAGAATTAAGCCTTCATAATTATGCTTTAAAGCGGCCCCACTTCTCTCTCACATAGGTGCTTTCTTGATGAAGAGTAACCCATATTACTCCGCTCGGACTCCTGACGCATCCGACGCATAAGAATCATTAAAAACCAAAGTTTAACCTCTTCTCGTATGGGTTTCACTGTTTTCATCATAGGAATAAGTTGGGGTTACTACCATAGTGAACTCAGATGGTCTAAACAATTTAGTTGTCCCATTAAACCTAGATCTTGGGATCTTTAGTCAACTAGATTGGGTTTTCACTATTTCGACCTGTTTATTACATGGGCTTCAGTCTCATTCCTCTCGATATTTTTTTAACTTGATCTCTATTCAGTCATTTGGTCAGTGGATCCGCAATATAGTCTTTCGACCTTATATAGTCAATAGCTATGACTCTTATTGAGATCAATTGTCTAATGGTGTTATGTCGATGACGTATATGTCTAGACTTACTATTATACATCGTATTATGTGCTCTACCAATGGCTGATTGGCTATCGCTGTGTATGTAAATTGTAGGTACATGCTTTGGCTAATCCAAAATGTCCTCCAAGAAATGTCTAAGCTATTCAGCTTTTTCGTCACATTCATCCAAAGTGACAAACTCAGCTTCCATTGTCGATCTGGTTATTACCGTTTGCTTAGAGAATTTTCATGAAATAGCTGCACCACCCAAAGAGAATACATATCCACTAGTAGCCTTAGAATCCTGTGTATCATATATCCAACTGGCGTCAGAGTATCCTTCTAATACAGGAGGTTCTCTTGTGTAATGTAGTCCATAATCACGAGTATATCTTAAGTACCTCAGTACTCTCACAATTGCTTTCCAGTGGTCATCTCTTGGGTTACTCGTGAATCTGCTCAATCTAATTACAGTGAAGGCAATATCTGATCTTGTACAACTCATTAGTTATATCAGGCTGCCAATCACTCTAGCATACTCCACCCTCTAGCATACTCCACCTGGGATATGTTTTCTCCTCTGTTTTTGGACAGATGTTGACTTATATCAATAAGAGTTTTGGCTATACCAGAATCATCTTTATTAAACTTGTCAAGTATCTTGTCCACGTAATGTGACTGAGTCAATATGATACCATCAGGCACCTTTTTGATTTTGATTCCTAAATCACATCAGCCGGTCCCATATCTTTTATGTCAAACCTTGAGTTCAACATGTGTTTGGTAGATTTAACCATCCGATTATTGCTACTCACAATTATTATGTCGTCTACATACAGACAAAGAATGACATAACCGTCTTCTGTATTCTTGATATAAACACATTTGTCATACTCGTTGATTTTGAATCCATTTGACATCATGACATCGTCAAATTTCTTATGCCACAATTTTGGTGCTTGTTTCAGTCCGTACAAAGACTTCACCAATTTGCATATCTTCTTCTTTTGTCCTGGAGCTACACAACACTCAGGTTGTTCTATGAAGATTTCTTCTTCCAGATCTCTATTTAGAAATGTTGTCTTGACATCCATTTGATGAACTTTAAGATTCCACGGCGCAACAATCGCTAGTATCATTTTTATAGATGTTATTCTCGTCACAAGAGAATACGTGTCAAAGTAATCAAGGCCTTTTCGTTGTCTATAACCTTTTATTACCAGTCTGGCTTTATACTCGTCAATTGTTCCATATGTCTTCATTTTTCGTTTAAAAATTCATTTAGAACTTAGTAGTTTATTTTCTGCTGGAAGGTCTACTAGTTCCTAAGTATGATTTTGCAAGATGAAATCTATCTCTCTTTATGACTTCTTTTCATAAAGGATCCTCAGTTGAGCTCACAGTTTCTTTATACATTTGAGGTTTAGCCTCTAGCAAGTAGGTTAGAAAATTCGGTCTGAAAGACTTTTCTATCATTGTCCTCTTGCTTTGTCTAGGCTCTTATTCTATTTCCACGATTTCATCGTTTTCAGAGTTTTGACTATTATCTTTTATGATAGTCTGAAAAATTCGTTTTGACGAACTTGGCTCATCTTCCTTAGTCTTACAAGGAAATTCATGTTCAAAGAACGATGCATTCGTAAACTCTATTATCGTGTTCTTGTATATGTCAGGGTTTTCAAACTTATGCAAAAGGAACCAATATGCACTATTGTTATGAGCATACCCAATGAATATGCAATCCATCATTTTTGGACCTATTTTCATCTTCTTTGGCATTGGTGCCATTAAATTGGCCAAGCACCCCCACACTGCCAAGTATTTATAGGAATGTTTCATTCCTTTCCACAATTCATAGGGGGTCTTATCGATTTTCTTACGCGGATCCTTATTTAAAAGGTAATTAGCCGATAAAATGGCTTCCCCACCCCCCCACATGTTTTGTGGCAACCCGGAACTTATTAACACTACATTCATCATATCTTTTAAGGTACGATTTTTCCGTTCAGCAATGTCATTCGATTGGGGAGAATATAGAAGTGTGACTTTGTAAATAAGTCCATATTGTGCACAAAACGCACCGAATGGTTAGACATATTTACCACCTCTGTCACTTCTTACCATCTTAATCTTTTTATTAAGTTGGTTTTCAACTTCTTACTTGTAGAGAGCAAATTTCTCTACAGCTTCATCTTTATTTTTTAGCAAATATACATAGCAATACTTTGTGCTATCATTAATAAAAGTGATAAAATACTTATTACCACTTCTAGTTTGAACAAACTTTAAGTCACAAACATCACTATATATTAGATCAAGTGGTTCAATGTTCTTTTCTATCGTTTGGAATGCTGATCTTGTTAGGTTTGTCTCTACACAAGTTTCACATTTACGTTTTGAATCAATATGAAATGCGGGTATGTGATCCAAGTTAATTAACCTACGCAATGTATCATAATTAACATGTCCTAGTCTACTATGCCATAAGTTTAAAGACTCAAGCATATAAACTGAAGACTCTTTCTTTTTATTCACTTTCTTGGGTTTTACAGCTATGACATTCATTTTTCATATGTCATTCTTTACGTAACCCCTCCCCACATACATTCACACCTTAGACAAAACAATTTTATCGACTTCAAACACCATCTTGAAGCCGTGCATGCTAAGCATCGTCACGGATATGAGATTCTTCCGGATGTCCGGCACATATAGCACGTTGTGGAGCTTTACTTTCTTGCTCGAGGTCATCTTTAAGAACACCGTTCCTTGGCCCTTGATCACAGAAGTTGCGGAGCTGCCCATGAAATGCTTATCTCTAGTTTCCAACGGAACTAAGTCAGCAAACTCGGCCCGGTCACAACAAATGTGTCTTGTAGCCCTAGTATCGAGTCACCACTCTTTT